GAGAAGCATTTTGAGGGATGCGATTTATCGAAAACACAAAGAGTGCATGCCGCAATTGTACTATACGTTTTATTCCATTGCACTCGCAGAGAGTGCAATGGAACGTATTCCATTGCAGTCTTGGGAAATGGAATTTTCTATTCAATATCACGTGACCATAAACAGCCAATTAAACGATCAGAATTCAATAACGTATTATGTAATATAGTTTATACCATGTATAATATAGATATATATTACAGGAACTCCCTGAAAAACACTTCTGTGAGTGGACTTTCCTGAAAAAATATTATTAATATTATTATATATATCAAAACTATCCAAAATTTAATAGGAAGATTTGTGGAACTAATATGACCAAGGACAATTCAATTAAATTTTGGATCGAATTTAAAACGTTTGTCACTTAGTCTAATTGTTTTGTCGTAGTATACACATGCAGCATGCGAAACTTGTGAAACGCGAGGGTTTAAACAATGGCAGCCATATATCTTGAATCAAGTTTTTTTAAAACAAAGTAATTTTAACTGGAGGATATAGATAAAACATTTTATGCAAATCAGGAGAATTTTGTATGTGTGGATACAACACGTCATTAAATATTAATTTCTTTTGAATTGTCATGAATTATTAATGAGTTTTACATGATTTCCTTACAATAATCCAGTGCTCGTGCAGCTAGTGATCCACTCACATCTGCTCTTTTTCTTTACGTCTAGGTAAAATATGCGACAATCCATTACTACAAGCTGTCACCACGTTTCCAGACTCTGTATTTTCTGGTAGTGGTTCTAGCAATTATAAAAATGCGAGGATTACTGAAAATGGATGGTGTGCCTCAAGGCGGAAATATCTCTTTCTTGATCTTCAAAAAGAATATCACATAACACGGGTTGTGGTTATGGGTGATAGAGATCAGACAAAACGGAGTGAGTCATATTCACTGAAATACAGCAATGATAAATCTTTGGTGGATGGTAGCAGTGCCGTGCAGGTATAAATTTGTTATGCAATGATTTTAAATGTTATAAAGTCATGTAAAAAAGAGCCACTACTTTTTATGTCAGATTGATTCGGTTCCTAACTGGTTCAGTTCTTATTTATAGTAAAAACAATTGTTTCTGGTTCGGTGTTTTACATTGTTTGTTTCAGTTAATCAGTGAGATGTTGACAGTATATACATTAATATGTACTACTATATTTAAAAGCCTCTGTATATACTGTATAATTCTTAAATCGAAATTTATATTTTTATTTAGATAACAGGAAACCAGAACGGCTACCAAGCGTCGACAACGCTCGTTGATATTTATAACGTGAGATATATAAAAATACAATCAACTGCAAGCACAGACTTTTGTCTTAGAATAGAACTCTGTGGAGAAGGTATTAATTAAGGACCAGTTGTTTTTGCATGTAGTTACAAATTTATGGGTTTTTTCTGTGGCATGAGGGCAGATCATATTGTATTTGATCCTTCCTGAGACAGAGAAACTATATATATTCTTCCCGCGGAGAGTGTTGACAGCGTGCGTTGTGATAAGCCAAACGTGCCGTTCCAGCATGGGGCCTTACAATCGTAATCATACAAAGTCATAATGTGGCAACTATAGAAACCCTTAGAAACCTTTGTATTCGGCAACACTTCACTGAATTTATAGACCCCCCCCCCCCACCCAACTTATTTTATACCCAGTATACTTACTAAATACATATTGTTCCATACATCAAAACCAACCTTGATCGGTGCATGTCAACATGTGTATAACTTCTTGTTTTTATTGTTAGCCCAAATGCCAGCTCCTGTTGACGAACTTCAAATAACACCATCAGATACCTCGGCACGTGTGACGTGGGTGATACATGAGAAAACGGTTTCCAGTCTCATAACAAAATATTATATCTATCTAAATGGTCAGTCACAACCACATGTTGTATCTCGAGCAGAAGATGGAACTCAGATCGTTATTCCTGGACTGAAGCCGTATACGGTGTATACTGTTGGAATTGAGACAGTTGATGGCGCTTTACAGAGAAGCCGCAGAGTTAGTAAGACCTTTAATACTGATCAAGCAGGTAAAAATATTTTAGAACCTCTATTTAGCCCCTCATTACACACCCTCGTTACGGACCTTGTTAAGGTCCTCTCTCTATTACGCCTTCTCCAGTCCCCACAACTTCGAAATATCTTGGTTCCCTCCCCAATAATTCAAACCGGCCCTATTATATTACTATTATCTAATACAGGATTTACGCGGCAGTAGCTTGAAGACGCGATCAAATTAATTCACAAAACTGTAACGGTTATTGTTTATTTTATTTCAAAACCTCAAATTCAGACGTGACCAGATTTTCATGTATTTTTGTTCGCCACAAACTGCTCAAGCTTGTTCAGTCCTCATTTTCGAATTTGAATATTTTGCGTCGTGCATGATCGAGTTGTCGGCATGCCTCCTGATATAATTTATCATTATGTGACTGTTCTTCATGAGCAAGAAGATAATTAGTTGCGACAGGAAAATGTAAAGCTAGGTTTCAACATTGCGATTTAGTAGGTCGATTCCGTGTGCTTGTGATAGACATTCGGCGAAACCGAAAATCGATTTGACTACACAAAACAACTTTTGTTTTAATTTTTGCTGTGATATGAATCATTTGCTTCCTAATTATAGCCCCTAGTGGACCTCCTTCGCATGTGAGATTCACTTACTGGGGTAAAAACAGACTGGACGTATCCTGGAATGCTCCTGATACAAAGTTTTGGAATGGTGTATTGACAAGATACCTATTGTGCTATGCTAACCAAACAAGGGCACGTAGGCCAAGATGTAGATTCATTCGAAGTGGTACGAGATTGCAAGGCACGATATATAATCTTCAACCCACCACAAAGTACTTTGTGACTGTCTCAGCTGGCACAAAAGTTGGTTATGGAAACAAGAGTTTGGAAATCAGTAAAATAACAAGTGGAGGTAAAACACTGGTCAGAATAGAAGTCGATGAAATAGAAATTGATTTACATTTTTTGTTTACACTTTGTTTTGAGTAAATCCATCTGATTGGTTCACTGTTTGGCACGTGATAGCTTTTTTATATTCACATGCATGCATGTGAATGTAATTTTCACATAACACCGAAAATCATGGCGTGACATGAGCGATATTCGGGCCATAAAATTGAGCGAGACATGAGCGATAATGAGCGTGACGATACACAGCGATACACGGCGTGTCTCAAACGTGACATTTTCGAGCGAGACATTGGGCGAGACATGAGCGATAATGA